ATACTATTATTCTATTCTATATTCTATTCTATGTTCTATTCTATTCTATATTATATTATACTATACTATTATACTATTATTCTATTCTATATTCTATTCTATGTTCTATTCTATTCTATATTATATTATACTATACTATTATACTATTATTCTATTCTATATTCTATTCTATATTCTCTTATTCTATTCTATATTCCATTTTATTCCATTTCATTCTTATTGTAATGCCATAACAATCAATATATTGCTTATACATTCTCTTGGAAACGGCGGGTTCAAATAATTTGGACCTTTTAAAAAACTTCTTTCCGTGCTCCAGCATAGAATGTGAAAAATTTCCAGGGACCATTTCTAAGTAGGATCTTTGCACTCACTCTTCTGTAGGATCATCAAACCATCCTAAGAGCTTGGGCGGTGAAAGATTTTGCTCCCAACTGTCCCCTCTACGTTCAGATTCTGAAGCCGGAGAATAAATTCCACGTCAAGTTTGCAGGTAGGATTTTTCCAGCCCTCTGTCCAATGGTTATTAAGATGGATAAATCAAACCCAAAACAAGCGGGGAAAAAGAATATTTCTGCAGATGGGGAAAGGCTGGATGGTATACAACGCGTTTTCATTCCCTTTCTAATCAACACTAGCCAGCAGATTACCAGCTGGGCTATAAAAAAGAAAATACAATGATTTGTCATCCGCAAACATATAAACAGAGTTTTATATTAACAGCTAGTTAATTTTTCTGGAACATTTATTGAACAGCTTCATTTGCACACACTACCCTGGTTACACGCTCATGGGTTTTATTTAGCTGTTTAGTGTCCTACCACATTTTTAAAAGTTACCTAAAACTTTTAATTTGCAATGGATCTGTTTTCAGCTCCCAGAATTAAGGAAGAGGTCCCTGCTTTGTTTTTTGGTTTAAGATATCCCTCAACTTAATTAAGATAAAGTGAAATAAAATCAGACATTATCGTTTAGGCAGATATATGAAGGGGGAAGAGAGGATGGAGCTGACACAGAGAGAGACAGAAGCAGAGTCTGGGTCCTCTGTCATCCCTCAGATGGAGAGTCAACAGCCCCCATGTCTGGAGGTGGCTGATGAGGAAGAGGAGGAACAGCTGGGTTCAGTGCCTGACACACAGATGCACAGAAGGCAGAGGAGAGGACAGCAGTGGAAATCTATGAGCCGGTCCTTGGGACGGAAGAGCCACTCCTGCTAGCGAAGCCCCATCCTAGCTCTGGGCATAAAAGGCAGGGGGCGGAGATGAATAGATATGGCAGAGGAGAGGAGAGCAGTGGAAATCTATGGGACGGTCCTTGGGACGGAAGAGCCACCACTGCTAGTGAAGCCCCATCCTAGCTCTGAGCATAAAAGGCAGGGGGCGGAGATGAATAGATATGGCAGAGGAGAGGAGAGCAGTGGAAATCTATGGGACGGTCCTTGGGACGGAAGAGCCACCACTGCTAGTGAAGCCCCATCCTAGCTCTGAGCATAAAAGGCAGGGGGCGGAGATGAATAGATATGGCAGAGGAGAGGAGAGCAGTGGAAATCTATGGGACGGTCCTTGGGACGGAAGAGCCACCACTGCTAGTGAAGCCCCATCCTAGCTCTGAGCATAAAAGGCAGGGGGCGGAGATGAATAGATATGGCAGAGGAGAGGAGAGCAGTGG